ATCACCTACAAATTAATACAGAATTTTAAAAAAATGAAAATTTCTTGTAAATGTTCATTATTCATTGAAAAATTTTTTTATAAGACAATAGTGTGCATAATATATCTTACTCATAAAAGCAATTAAAAGTTTTTTCTAATTAAATAATATCTTAGTTTGATTAGATTATTTTTATTTTACAATTCAGAGATTTTTTGGTATACGGGGTCCTGTTTTACAAAAACAAATTGATAATTTAATTCCCCAAGGATGTGTGCTTATAACTAATATAAACATTAAGCAGTACATGATTTTAAAAATTACTAAAATTCAGCCATTTAGCAAATTTGTTATCACAACATAATTCTCTTTATTAAAAAAAAGTCTTACAAAAATAAAATATACTTTTTTGAAACTTTATTTGAAGAGCATTAGCTGATTTAAAGTTTATTTAAGCATAAAGTTTTGAAACTATAAATTTCTCTTTCCTGTGATTCACTTATTTTCCTTTTTTGTTTTGTTTAAAGAGTTTTACACAATTTGTTTTGTCAGTCAAATATTTGACTAAACAATTTTCATCATTTCTTTTTCTGATAAAATCTATGAAAAAATAAAAAATGTAATTATATTTGATATAGCTATGATTGTCTGAATAAAACTGATTTATTTACTCTGTTTCTGATTGTGTAGGAAATCTTTGAAACAAAACCTGATTTGTGATTTCAAATAATGAAATAATCTAGTATTTTCATTAATAATACTTCTTTTTATTCACAGATATGTCATCATGGAGAACAAATTAACTCATCTGATGGCCAAATATAAACATTGTATATAAAAAAATAATTATCAAGTAAGTGTTAAATATAATCAGGAAAAAAAAATGTTTGTGAAATGTGCTCAATGTAACAGATTATTTATATTGTAAAACAATATTTTGAAAAACACAAGCAAATATCAGTACATTTTTAAGTCTTCATTCAAACATGTAAAACACATTGGTGAGAAATTGTATTCTTCTACGTTGTGTGGCTGCATTTTCAAACAGCCCACATTTAAGCACAAATATTCCAACATACAAGAGAGCCAGCCTCCTCTTGTAAAGTGTGTGAATCTCTAATTTCGCTGTGTTTTGATTTCAAAAGATATGCAAGCACGCATTGGAGAGAGACCATATTCTTGTGAAATATGTGGATCAGCCTTTTCAAAGAGTGATAATTTAAAAATACACATGCGAACACACACTGGAGAGAAACCCTATTTATGCAAAGTATGTGGATCAGCATTTCCACAAAGTTCCAAGTTAAAAAGACATGTACGAACACACACTGGTGAGAAACCCTATTCTTGTGAAGTGTGTGGTTCTGCATTTTCACAGAGTTTCAAGTTAAAAGAACACATGAGAACACACACTGGAGAGAAACCATACACCTGTGAGGTGTGTGGCTCTGCATTTTCACTGAGTTCATGTTTGAAAACACACATGCGGATACACACAAAAGAGAAACCCTATGACTGCAAAGTATGTGGGTCTTCATTTTCACAGGGATCATCATTAAAAAAACATATGCGAACACACACTGGAGAGAAGCCATATTCTTGTGATATGTGTGGATCAGCTTTTTCAACGAGTTCCCATTTAATAAAACACAAGCGAACACACACAAAAGAAAAACCCTACTGTTGCAAAATGTGTGGCTCAGCATTTTCACAGACCTCCTATTTAAAAAGACACATGCAGGCACATACTGGAGAGAAACCCTACTCCTGTGAAGTATGTGGATCAGCATTTTCACAGAGATCTAAGTTGAAAGAACACATACGGACACATACTGGAGAGAAGCCATATTGCTGTGAGGTATGTAACTCAGCCTTTTCAGTGAGTGCAAGTTTGAGGAGACACATGCGAACACACACAAAAGAAAAACCTTACTGCTGTGATGTCTGTGGATCATCATTTTCACAGAAATCCCATTTGACAGGTCACATGCGAACACACACTGGGGAAAAACCCTATTCTTGTGAGGTATGTAACTTGGGATTTTCACAAATGTCAGGTTTAAAAAGACATATGCAAACACACACAGGAAAGAAACCTTAATTTAACAAGATGTATGTATTAGTATTATCTGAGTGTTCATTTTTAAAAACTCATGGTGGGGAGTAGCCATGTTTTTTTAAGTTCTCATTTAAAATGTTAACAGCTTATGGCCATATTATGTTGAAACACCAGTTCTCATGCAATCACCAAAGTTAAGCAACATTGAGCCTAGTCAGTACAGATGTGCTTGAGAATACCAGATAGCTTGGATCTGTGGGTGGTGTAATGTATAGTAACTCAGAATTGGAAATCAAAGAGCTGAGTTTCAATTCCATTCATGTTCATTATATTCAGTCATGTGCAAATATCCTTGGGGAGAGGCATGAATCCATCTATTCTAACCCCAGTTATAGATCAATTAGTGGGTCTTGTATCAGTAAATCATTATTATCTCAAAAATTCTTACAATCTAAAAATATTTTCTTGCTTTAAACAACTTGCAAAAGGTTGATAAGTCATAAAAAATAAATCACTTAAAATATTAACACATAATGGTGACAAACCTTGTGAAGTGTGTGGATCAACTTTTTCACAAGATTCAAACTATAAACAATATCTGGGAGCACACTCTAGAAAATAAGCCTGCTCTGCTGAAATGATTGGATCACATCTAAAAACATGCATGAAAGAAAAATCATTTTTCTAGTAGAGTGTTAACCAGCCTTTTCAAAAGAGATTTGTTAAATGATGATTTGTAGACAGTGGAAAGCAACCATATTCTTGAGCTGTATGTGGATTATTCTTTTCAAGTTCTCATTTAGAAAAAATATCTCAGAATACCTATTCTATTGAAGTGTGCAAAATATAAGTGTGTGAACATACAACTGTGAACCTTTTTTTTTTTTTTTAATTTTTTAATAATTAGAAAGCTTCACTCCATGATGTGTTCAATTCCTATTTGTGTTGGTGTGAACAAAATCTGGAAAAGGCCTGATGTAAGTTCAAGAAAGGAACTGAAGATGAAATAATACTATGGGGCCTTTATTCACTAGCTGAATTTCAAGTTGGACCTTTCCCTCTCTGGAGATATTCTTACTTATCACCAAGCAACTGCTATCGATGTAACTTGTTGGATGGATGGCTCCTCTCTCCAATCTCTCTAACCAGAATTCCTTACCTTCTGAACAAGCAGTACTTGATTCTACAAATTTTTATTTATTCATTTATTTCCTTTTTCCCTACTTGTGGCTATACCAAAAGCTGGGAAAGGGTGTGATGCATGCTCATATGACAACACAATGAAAGAGAAATGCCACATTGAGAAATAATTGCAAACACTGTTTCCCATATGTAGATGTTTTATTCAGTGCTTTTTCCTGCTTGCCCGGGTGGGCAGGTAGGTGGTACTCAGGACAACTTCTGCTATGTTAGCTCTTTTCCCTACTAACTCCTTGCCCATCTATACATCCCGACATGTGGCTGGCAATACAAATGGATGGCATAGGAATCACCTGACGGACAAGTCTATTTTCCGCCAGGGACAAACCAGAACACTCTCCAATCCAAGTATGACTGTTAATCTAGACCAGCACCTGGATATACCCTATTTTTGGTTTTGTTGCCACTTGATCTCCAAAAACCCCTAATCCATTCCTTTATTTCCTATTCCCCTTCAGTTGTGCCGCTTAAAAAACTGAACTTCAAAAGGAACTATTTGCTAGTGCATCAAACAGAAACAATGGAGATCAAGGTAAAACCACCTCCCATTTCTACATGGGTGTCCATAATATCACACTCTTAGCAAGTTTAGTCTTTGTTTTTTATACACTGTCCTGGGTATAACAATAAACTATATCTGGCAGCAAGGCCTCTGATTGGGAGGTTTTGAGGAGTGTGAAACCGCCTCTTAATTGCTACTGTTCCCATGTCCATCCTGACCCAAGGTGGTAGCTTCTGTTAGAGTCACAGCTATGGGCAAATAGTGAAACCCCAAAATGAGGTCAAAACACTATAAAAGTATAAAAATACATTTTTATAGTAAACATTCTGAGCAGGAGATTTTAGTAGTAAAAAAAAAACTTATAGCAATAGATTTTAATAATTAAAAAAATTACTAAAGCACCTAAAGAAATTAATTTTGTCATTAAATGACCCATAAGGAGTTGATATGCCATTAAACAAACCAAACCAATTTTCCATTATAATAGAAGTAGATAAGTTTGCCTATCACCCGGTTCACACTCCTCCCTGATCTTTTGAACAGGAGTAGAGGTTTATCCTGTTCTTGTTTAGGATTAGATTTCCGACTCTTTCTCAAGTCTACTTCAGCTAAATACTGCTAACACTTGTCCTTTCTTACACTAATACAACTCCACACAGCAACCCTCTACCTTGAGTGGCTCTTGAACATTAGTAAAAAAAAATACAAGAGTGCAGAAACTAGAATAAAGGGATAAGGATTTTAAATTCAAGACTTAAAGTTACTTCTATTTATATGCACATGACAGACTGTACATGCTACTGTGATTAGCCTATTCAGAACTGCTTTAATGACTGATTTTAACTCAGTGACCACTGCCTTTAAAATTCTCACCTTTTTATGTGGACATTATTCAGACATATATTCAAATGAACACTGTTTCCATTGATCAGCTTCATCACTGCCAACAATACATACAATGTTGAGAGAATGCAATAAAAAAACAGTTTTTAAAAGCTTTTTTTTCTTCTTTGTTTCTTTTGATTAAAATGGGCAGCAAAGTTTTTGTTACTGGTCTAAAAGAGTATGTTTTTGACAAAATCAAGTATACTGATTCCAATTCTGTATTCAGAATTGCTCTAGCTTGTCAGGATTTTGTTATGTGTATGCACATGTTTGAGGAAATATCTAGGTAAGAAAAACAAGAAAAAAATGATAATGTTAGTAACTGATATTATGCTTCCAATCAGCATATTGTTTTCTCTTCTCAACCAATGACTTATGGTCAAATCATGTTGAAACACCAGTTCACATATGATCACTGAAGTTGAGCAATGTCAAGCTTGGTCAGTACCTAGATGGGTGACAGCTTGGGATTCCTAGATGCTGTAAGCTTGGATGTGTGAGTAGTGTAATGGATAAGGCTTGGAATTGTTAGTTAATTGAATGGCTGACTTCCAATTCCAGTTAGGTTCATTATATTCATGGCATGGTGGAGTAATGGATAGCGACTCAGATCGAGGAATTGGACTGCCTAGTTTGAATTCCAGTCGAATCCATTACTTTCACTATGAATCTTCTTCTTTTCCCACCAGGTATGGATAAATAAGAGGACAGATCAGTTTCTATATCCTTGGATGGCAACTGGTCTTCTGCAAAAAGAAATGGCAACCTACTGCGGGAAAAAATTTGCCTCATCAATCATGCATTGAAAGATACACGATTGCCTAAGCATGTATCACACATGGCACATAACTGACTGATATTCACTTACATGTAAATAACCTTGGGAAAGGTATGATGAATCCAGCTATGAGTTAATTAATAAAATTTGTATCACTAAATCATTATTATTTCAAAAACAAAAAATAAAATTGTGTACAAAATATTTAGATTTCAGCGTTAAATAACTCATAAAGGTTAACATACTGCTAGACAAAAAAAAATCTTCTCAACCAATGTAGAAATCTTGTCCATAAAAATGGCCTTCTTATCTATCAAATTAGTTTTATTATCTGTAAGTTTAAGTACCATTGTAAGCCTGGCTACATATATAAGCTGGTTCACACTTCTTCCTGATCTTTTGAACAGGAGTAGAGGTTTGTTTCGTGTTTAGGATTGGGTTTCTGGTTCCTTATAAAGTTTTTTCATTCCTAGTAGCCCCTTGCATCTTAATGATGTTATCACCTTGCTTGGGGTGAATTGATTAAAAAAACAAACACACTCATTGGAGAAGATATTTTCTTGGCATATGCCATCCTGCTTTCAGAAAGGTCATTTTCAAAATTTGTGTAATATACAAATGCATGTGTGTTTGTGATCTCAGAACATTCTTATTAACAATTGGCAATGTGCTTTGGCCTACCATGAAGGTATGTTCCTTTTGTTGAGCTGTTCCCATTCAGACTTTTATGTTAAACTTTTGGAGACCATTTTTATCAAAAGAAAATTGTTTAAAAAAAAATGAGTGGTAGTTAGGTCTCAATGAGATCAGTTCATAATATTGATATACATATATATATATATTCATTTATGTGTATGTCTTATCTTTTGTGTGGTAATTTGCTCTCCCCTCTTTTTTGTTATGGTACACAACTGTTTTATTTCCTCAAACTAGCTCTGAAGAAACAGGGACAAAACTGGTCAGATATTTTTTTAAATTTTTTTCTTATATTAAATTTCCATTGGTGGTGATTATCTTTTCTTCCTTGCTATTTTCCTCTCAATTTGATAAATATATCTGTTTTTATGGCATTAATTAAATTTTGTAAACCAAGAATATCTTTAAATGAAATTGTCTGCTACCCAAATAAATGATGCTATACTAGACTAAATCAAGTACATTGACTGGGTAAATTATATTTTGAATTATCCTAACATATCAGGTTTTTGAGATATGCATAAAATATTTATATCCAAATTAAATATTAATAATTGCGTATAAGAAATCAAAAATCCTGATGGCATGCACATCCCAATGCCATTAGCTCCATGATGCAAAGAAAAAGCGAAGCAAACTCATTCCATCATTTATAACAGAAAACAGTTGATGGAATAACATGGATGCGCTGCCTACATATTAATGTAACTACCTCTAAACACATACAAAATCAGTGGCAGTGGGAAAGCCAACTGCTGGGAGAGTGGATTTGCAACTATTTGGATGTGCAACTTTGTGAATTTGTGACAGTTTGCTTTATTTTATGCTACAATAATATATTAGTATCTCATGGTAGCATTGGATTCATTTGTATTAGCTGTCTCAAACTCTTTTAGATCTCGTAGAGGTGAAAACTATACTTATTTAATAAGCAACATGCTAATTGTGTATCAAAGAACAGGATACTGGATGTCTTTTAAAATATACTTCTTGCATTCTCATCTCAATTTTGTTTTTATTTTTCAAACTGTTCTTACTGCTGTTAGTAATGAATATATTGAGAGGTTCCAGCAGAACGTATCTAAGATGGAATTGAGTTATCATGTCCAGATCAACCTAAATATGAAAGGGGACTCTTGCTGGTTCCTATAACAGGAGACCAGTACCAAAATAAGTGTTTCAAACATTCCTAAAAGAAAAAAATGGAAATAAAGTATTTTTATCTGTCTGAATTATCTTGGATGAAGAATTATCATTATTTACACACAAACTACTAGCCTCTTCTTCGTTGTTGCTATCACAGCATTTCATCTGTTGTGCCCTTCATCAGATGTTTGTCCTGGCTTACAGCCATATCACATTGAAAGATTGGTTCCTGTATGATTACTGAAGTTAAACAATTTGTCAAGCTGGGTCGATGCCTAGATGCATGACCACTTGGGAATACCAAGTGCTGTAAGCTTGGATGTGTCAGTGGTGTAATGGATAATGGCGCAGGATCAAAGAACTGATTTCCAATTCTCATTGAATTCATTATATTCAGTTATGTGCAAATATCACTATTCTCCCCCAGCCATGGGTTAATTAGTGAGAGTTGTTTCACTAAACTATTATCTAAAAAAAAAGAAGAAAAAACACTTCTTACGATCTTAAAAATATTTTCTGGCTTTAAATAACCTTCAAAGGGTTGATAAACTGTAGAAAATGAATCAACCAACCAGTTGTTTGTTGATTTCAATAGTCTACAAGAAATTTCTAAATGAATCCTTTAATCTGTGGGAGTAGATTGTTCTTGTTTCACTGTTAATGTCTAGGGATAAATCATTTAGTACTTATTTAATACTCAGTTATTGTTAACCCTGTTTCCACTAGGCTAGAGATAATAGCCTAATGTGTTGGTTTGTGAATTTGGTAATATGGTAATTGTAAGTTCAATCCCTGGATCTGGTAGTGTGTACTTGAACTTTGAATAAAGACAAAAACAAGTTAATCAAGTTAATTCAATCTTACTGTAATTTCTATAAAACTCACAACTGTTTCCTTTAAACATTTTGATTAAATCACCTTGAATAATTTTATACATATGTTCATATTCATTTTCATTCTCAAATATCTTTCCTCATACTTTAAGAATTGTGCTCTATGCTTTCAGTCATTAACAAAAGTTTAACACCACTTAACTGTAGCATTATTTTCGGAGTTTTGTATCCTATGAGATTATATGATTCAATAGCTTTTTTTTTTATTGCATCAGCCATTATTCACATGTGATTTCTGGTTAAAACATTTTTGTTATTGCCAAACTAGAACCCATTGTGGGAGTGAATTAGCCTTAGAATATGGGCAAAAGATCTTCAATTTCATCTAAATGTAGTGCCCAAATTGTGGTTCTATGTGATGAAAGCATGAAGAAGAAATAAGTGTAAAAGTAGGTTGTAAGCTGTGCATACCACTATCCAAAATCCATGGACATTTAGCAACAAGATGAGAAGTGAACATCCAAAGAAAACCAGTGTTGGGGATGACCATTTGATGAAGCATATTGCTACAAGATCCTAACAAAATCTTGTAAGAAGATACATGCTGTTCTGCTTCAAAACACTACAAATGTCAGTTTCTATAACAATTTCACATTATCTGAGATTTGAGTTTGGTTCAAAATCATTATGTCTGGTATTTGCTAAGCAACATAAAATCTGTACAGTTGAAAATTGACAAATGTATGTTTTCTTATGAATCTACACTGCAACAGTTCATTATGTATAAAATAAACATTAGAAACCTCCCCACCCAACTTCAGTTATTCTAATTAAAATTTATTTATTTTTTATTCTAATTAAAATTTAAAAATAGAAAACAATTCTTGTAATGAGTTAACAATGTCATAAATGTGTTGGGGTGGAGGTGGTGGGGGTTAACCTAAATATTTACCAAGATTTTCTAAAGAAAAAAAAGAAGAAAAGAAAGAAATGTCTGAAAGTTTCATCAACAAAATTATCTGATTTTTGCAAGAACTTCCAAATCAATGTATTTTTCACTGCAGAAAGATGCTCAGATCTCCCATACAAATTTATGGTTCCGCATCGACACCGGAAAAATCAAATTTTTAATAAAAAGTTTTCAAAGTTCTAAAAGGATAAAAAATGAAAATTTACATAAAAATCCTTTGATCTCTCCTCTTTTAATAAGATTTCGATGGTAAAATTGTTTTTATTTTGTTTGCCCATTTTTTTTATTACATTATGTATCCTCTTTTATAGCAATTTTTTTTTAGATATCTACACAAAACCCAACTCTTTCTGATTTTACCTTCTTCTTTAATCCCAGGAAAAAAGAGCAACTGATTATTACTTTTTAACTCAAATTTTCAGGGTTTTTTTGTTTTTTGTTTTTATCATAACTCTTGAGCACTATCATTTACAGTCATTATGATGTAGTGTGGAACAGGAATACATTTCAAGTGTAAATTCATTGTATACAATATATTTTATATTTTACCTATCATTATTAAAACTGTGACATAATGAAATAAAATAAATATTTTTATAGATTCTAATTTAAAAATAAAAAACTTGGCTCAAAGTTTTTATGACTTACCTCCCTTTAACTTAGCTCTCTAAACTTTTGAATTTACTGTATACATATTTCCTGGCAATTTAAAATTTTATACTTTTATTTTCCTTTTCTGTTATGTTGTACTGTTTCAAGGAAAACGAATAAAGTCAGGAAAAGATAAGTATAGCGTTCTCTTAATATTTATTTTACAAAATAAATTCAGAAGAATGTGCACCTGTATTTTATAGACTACACAAAGGCGTTTGACAAAGTACACCACAAAGATCTATTAGAGCTGCTCAACAACCTTGACATATTTGGGAAAGAAATTAGAATAATCAAAACCCTCTACTGGCAGTAAACTGCCTGCATGAATATAAAAAAATGAGTTCAGCAGATATACAAAAATAGAAAGGGGCATAAGGCAAGGATGTGTCTTCTCACTGGACTTATTCAAT